GGGGGGGGGGGGGGAAGCAATGTCCCAATGTCCTAAATTGCTTCCCTTTTAATGTTTTACTTTCCATTTGCCAGAACTACCTTAAGAATGCATGCACATTTAATGCACTTAAATATTCTCAGAGTTTTGTGATGTACAATGAAATGTTTGTAGATCTTTTTAAACCCAAATGGACCATGTTACTGGGATGAACACATTGAGCCACTAGGGGTCAGTAGAGTGTGTCGAACTCACAAAACACAGAAGAAATCCACCACTATGAGGATGCCCAACCAGAAAACCATATAATATGCCCGCCTTCGCATTCATTAGGACTCTTGTTGAAATGCCATGTTTAACAATCCAGGAAAACACAACGGGAGACTCAGATCTGCCATTTGTAACATTCAGATGGAACTAAGGTACTTTTTCCAGTAAAGTAGACCAAGTGAACTGTGAAAAAGTTCTGGTTGTTGAAGCATCACATGAAAGGAAGGAAGGAAGGAAGGAAGGAAGGAAGGAAGGAAGGAAGGAAGGAAGGAAGATGTTTCTACCTTCTTTTGAAAAGGCAACAGATATCAGAACTCTCCAATTTCTTCTAACAGAGACACCAGGTTTTATATTACCCACAGCTGAAGTTAAATAATGCTGGAATTATAGAATCAATCAACACCATCAGGTCAGGTTAACAGACACTGTCAAGTCAAGCTAATAGGGCAGGACAAGAGTTGTTGTTGTTGTTAGACAATGTTTCATCCAAGGTTGCCATTCCATCTGGAAAGCTCCCTTATAAATATTGGAAGAATGAAGGGAACTTTATTTTAGGTTGTTTCGGATTCTGCCTTCAGAAAATACATCCAGTCTCTGCAAAGGATTCAGGGAGACATTTCCACTGAATGTGTTGTTTCTTCAAGACCTTGGTTGGAGAACCATAGAAGATCGTTGCCTTCACGTCTTGTTCTTGGTTTCTGAGAAGTACCAGTTTGTGAACAGAATGCAGGATTCAAGACTGGCCTTTCTGCCTTATCGGATATATCGGATATATCTACCCAACCTTTGACCAGAACACTTTCCCTTCTTGCAAGTGATTTTCAGCTTGCCTCTTCTCTCCCGTCCCCACAGAATCGTCCCCCTTGGACTCATCCGTGAGCAGCCCAAGTTCTTACCCCTCCGTGAGTGAGATGTTTGGACGCAAGAGGAAGAAACGAACCAGCATTGAGACCAACATCCGCTCCACGCTGGAGAAGCGGTTCCAAGACGTAAGCACGGCTATCCGTTCCTTGAGTGGAATAGGCAGGTGCCCTGGTAGTGATGCTAAAATCAAAGAATACTAAATGACAATTGGCGACTGTTGGCAGCAGGTTTGCCAGCAGGGACAAGCAAAAAGACATAAAAGAGGGAAGACAGGCCAGGAGCTGGGGAATTAGCAGGCAGGGACAGATCTGGCTCCTTCCAGGCTGATTCAGAACTCTTTCCAGCCGGAAGAACCAACAGGTTGCCAGAGGAGAAGCTTGGGGCTGTAGGAGACGCAATCCTCCTTTCCTTTTGTCTTCTCCCTTTCATTGTTCAACTTGTTGTCCAGCTCTTGGCTAGACAGGGAAGTTGACCACACATTCCAGAAGGCAGAAGTGGCAAAGCTGCTTCAATTGGCAAGAAAAAAGAGCCTAGGAGTTGGACCGTTTCCTTTTTTAATCTCCTGAGCACCTAAGTTGACAAAGCAGGGACGGTCTTTCTTGCCAACAATGCTTATTGTGGGCTTTCTCTTAGCAGAACCCCAAGCCCAGCTCAGAGGAAATAGCCCTGATTGCAGAACAGTTGTCCATGGAAAAGGAAGTGGTCCGAGTTTGGTTCTGCAACCGAAGGCAGAAGGAAAAACGTATCAGCTGTCCAACGCCCTCTCCCATAAAATCACCGCTCTACAACTCCAGACTGGTAAGAAGGGCTGGCTGGGCCCTTTTTTCTCTAGGTGAGGGGGGAAGGAAGGAAGGAAGGAAGGAAGGAAGGAAGGAAGGAAGGAAGGAAGGAAGGAAGGAAGGAAGGAAGGAA